CCCTTCTTCTCGCCTTCCTTTTCTTTTTCCTTTTCCTTTTTGGCAGCGCCCTTCGCTCCCTCTTCCCCTGCGAGGCCCTTGCCGCGAACCATCTCTTGGATCGCTGGCTAGACCGCGTTGAACCGCCCTATCAACATGTCAACGTTGGATCTTGTCACCGCGAAGCCCTCGTTTAGCTCCTTCAAGTTGTTTCCCATTCTCTGTTGCATTCCTCGTATCTCCACCACTGCTCCCTTAAGTTCTTGAATCCCAGATTCCAGTAATGAGCATCGTTCCGAGGCCGTGCCCGTACCCTTTGAGATCAGATCCTGGAAGAATTCAGAACCAGACTCTGATACCAATTGATGGCAACTTGTTTCCTCGAGTTAAGGGTTTGCTTGTAACTCACAAGCGAGAGAACTACTTTGGCGTCGAAAGACCTTTTAGTTTATTAATTCGATGATATGGACTAATGATGGACTTACACTTATATAATATGAAAACCCTAAAAAATTCCCTACTCTATCCAACCCTCCCTACTCTCCCTATCCTAGCCGAACTCGGCAGCTAAACCCAAAAAGGACTCCTCCCAAATAACCTTCTACTATATCCCAAGCCCGTAAACTAAACATAAAATTAATTAATCAAAACACCCAAGCCCACTACCTACCTTCGACGACCGTCCCTAGCTCAACGAGCTGCCATCACAACCAAACCTATGGTAACCTTTATGATCTTCTCCTTTGAAACTCCCACATTGAGAACAATGTGTTGCTCAAGTAGGAGGGGGGGGGGGGGGTACATCTGTGTGAATGCTTGAATGATTTTCATGATTGATTGAGACATTGATTGCTAGTATCCTCCTTTGTTTATGAATGTAAGATGTTGATGAATTCTTATGGGAGTGTATGCTAGCGATTGTATGTGTTTGTGGTGTTGGTTGGCCAAATGATAGTGTTTTGGAATCTTGAATGCAATCCCCAACTCGATATTATTTGAATTTATAGATGGTTGATGTGTTCTGCTCGCTGGGGATTAGTTGCATGATTAGGGTACCCTTGTATGAGGGATTTTACTCTCTTCTTCCTCTTTGGTGAGTTGATAATGTCTGCTATTTTAGGAAGAACATGTGTGCGAGATTCTCTATCATTTTTTAACCCAAAATCTTTTAAAAAGAGGTTCTCACGCGAGAGGCAACTGTCCATCAAGGTTCGGAGTTCTCTTTGAGGATATGTTTGGGGATCGGATAGCCTTACCGCGTCCCGGCCATCTCTCACTACTTAGCACCCCCCAAACATCTTTTCTCCTCACAGAATTGTATGCGAAGGTACAAAGTACCTTTTAGCGATTCATGAGACCTCAAAGATCTCGTTTGTACCCAACATGTGTGCCAACCCAATGAGGAGTGCAGGGTGGGAAGTGGTGCTTGGGCTAAGGCGAATTTTTGCATCAACTGCCCCACATGTGACCTTGATAGGGAAGGGAATGATCCATCCGCTCTTGGTCTTGAGGAAGAGATGCTTGCTTGCAAGAAAGTTTTCAAAAGATTGGTGCAATGAGATTCAACGTAGAAAAAGAAGACCAATAAACAACAACTCCTAAATCGAAAGAAAGAATAAAGAGCACCCTCAAGAGTTCTTGTGCTTAGTTGATGATTCAGAAGTCCCCCAGTGCACACCTTGGATGTGCGTCCTAAGTTAGTAAGTATGGTCCTCACCCAAGAGTTTGTGCTTGCACAGTGAGATGATAGTAACATTTTTCTGTCTCTGTCTACTCTTCTTTATGCAATAAAGAATTAGAGTGCATCCCACCTTGATTTGTTTATCAAGTTGCACTTGTTTGAGTAGGTTTGCTTGGGGACAAGCAAACACCTAAGTGTGGGGGAGCTCGATAACACTTAAATTGGTGTTATTTTCCCTTCATATTTAGGTTAATTTCATGCTAATTCATGTGCATAATCATTTGAGTAGCGTCGATTGCATCCTTATTTTGTTGCTATTTTATTATGATGTGATTTTAGGCTGCTTTGGAAAATATATGCTAATTAGGTACGAAAAACGACACAAGTGAAGAAAAAGGGTAAGAATGCTGATGATCACGTCCTGGGGATAGAGATCATAGCCCAGAACACAGACTGCGAACTCTAGGCGAAGATCACGGCCGCGGAACCCAAGATTGCGGCCGCAAATTTAGAGGCTTCGGGCGCAAACTTTGTGAAGAAGCCAGCCGAGGAGAAACAGAGAGTTTTACATTCCGATCACGACCATAGTTCATATTGATAGCAAGGAAGTTCACGGTCGTGCTTCAAGGATCGCGACCGTGAAGTCAGCCCACGAACCCTCGTACTTGAAAGGCCAAAATGGCGGTGTTGGTAGATCGCGGCCTCGAGGAGAAAGATCGCGACCGCGATCTTGATACTAAATGGCCATGTACTTCTCGATTCTCTGAAGGCTATAAATAGAAGACCCCCTTCCCTCATTCAAGAGATCTGATTTTAAGACAGAAATTTCTGGTTAGAGAGAGAGAGAGAGAGAGAGAGAGAGAGAGAGAGAGAGAGAAGAGAGAGCAACTAAAGGAAGGAGAAGAGGAGAAGAAGGATGAGGAGCTAGAAGTCTAGAAGAGAGGAGCCACCTTCCTCAACACCAAGTCTTCCCCAATCTCTTCTATGTATCTTCTCCCCTCCTTTATGGAGTACTCTCGTAAGATACTAGGGGTTCTGAATCCTAAATCCTAGTTCTAGGGTTACTATGTAATGAATAGATATTTTAGGGTTTTAATGAATGAATGTGTTCATCTAGTTCACTTTTGTGTTTCTCTAGCTTTGATTGTGTTTAGGTAAGTCGCCCTAATCTTCTCAATTAGCCTACTTGAGCTTCTACGTTGGGTATGGAGTTTTAGGGTTAGACGGGTATGCACCATCAAGCAAATTGAGTTTAGATGTATGAATAGGATTTTATGATGGATGAGGCAACCGTACCCCTGCCATAGGAATTCCTTCATAGATATAACCCGCGATAAAACCTCACTGTGAACGGTGGGTAGTACCCATTGAAATGAGCTATTGACTCATCCCGAATACCACAATTAAATATTCTCGCCTAAGGTCCAAGTATAAACCTTAGTTGGGTGCAGTAAAAGGCAAGTATGTTTAAATATCGACTCGGGCCGGTCCCTATACCCCTACTTCAGTCATTTGAATCATTATCTAGCGACTCAGTTTTGGTTGAAAAGTTTTCTAATTAAAGTAAAGCAAGGTAAAAGTATATAGTTTTGAAAGCTCTTTTGTGAGAAGGATCGCTCGGGTGTCGCTTCCCCCTAACTACTACCAGGGCATGTGAATCGAAACGATTGTTATGGGCAAGGTGACCGCGAACCGCTAGGGGATGCAAATATGGTCGTAGACCACACTCTCGATTTCTAAACCGAGGGATACATTATAGGCTGTCACTCGGCCCTCTCGGTTTAGGCAATCGATGGTTGACTTACTCAACCCAATGGTTGGTTGGCTTAATCGCGCTTAACCAAATTGCTTAGTCCAACATCGAGGTTTGCCCTAAATTAACCTAGATAGGTGACTTAAAAAGCCCTAGGAATACCAACTCAATTAAGCCTCCCTTCAAAGGGGGTTTTCCCTCTCTAGTCTAGGTTAAATTGGCAAATTATATTGCTAAGCACAAACATGCACAATCAACATGAATAATACCTCAAGCATTGAATTAAACAACACTCATAAACAATCATTCAATTCACATAAAAAAAACCTACATGGTAGATAGTTAGGGTTTCACAACACCCAAGTGAAAAAGAAATCTACTCCATGCTAGAAACGGGAGAAACACAAGGGGAAGAGGTAGAAACAATCATGGGGAGGCTTCCAATCTTCTTTGCACTTGTGCTGAACTTCTTTTGGGGAGAATCTTCCCAAATCCACTCTTGGAGCAAAACTCTAAATTCTGAAGAAGAAGACTTTCTCACTCTTTTTGGGCTCCTCCTCTCTCTTTCTTTCAGCTCTTATTTTAAACAGGGATCGTGGTCAGTTCACGACCTCAGTTCACGGCCTCAGTTCACGGTCGTGAACTCTGAAACGCGTCCGTGAACTCAAGATGGGCATTGAAACCCACCGCTTCGCTTGCACTGTTTCACGGGCAACTGCTCCTGTTTACGGTCTTAGTGACCGTGAAGTCAATTCACGTCAATAACTTAAGATTTGGCCTTGGACGCCTTGATGTTCACGGGCAACAGCTCTAGTTCACGGTCTAAGAAGACCGTGAACATCAAAGGAAAGTCGTGAACTGCCTTCTTTTCACCACTTCTCCCGGTTTTCGCTCCTTTTTGTCCAACTTTCGACTCCGGGGCTGGTTTCACCTGTTAGATCCTGAAACATGCTAAAACACAAGAAACCTCGCGTAAAACCACCCTTTTAGGAGCACAATTGCCACAAACGCCTAAGGAAAATGAGGGTAAAACATGTACAATTAGGCCCGAATCACTCCCCCACACTTGGATGTTTGCTTGTCCCCAAGCAAACCATTTCACACAAGGTAATATTTCAACCTACAAACATTCTTTGGGGACAACTCAAATGGCACAAAGCGGGGATTCTCAATGGCTATCGGCAATTAATGCATGGACCGTTGCAAGCAATACCGACATCCACCACAAACGACATTCAAAGCCACCAAAAATGGGCAGACGAAAAGTTCTCACCTTGTTCATGGATCAATGCAAGTCTCAACAAGACTACCTATCAACTACAACTAACCATGCATAGAATTCAAGTCCGAGGAACAAATGGAAAGACAACAAAGGTCCGCACTGAGGTATGATATGGCATGCAAAACAAGACTCTCAAGACGAGAGCAGATCTGGTGACTAAGGGGGGTGTTTAGTCACTTGACTAAGCCCCTCCTAGCCATTGGATCTAGATGAATCAATCTAATGGTGAAAGTTAGGGAAGGGATTATTAAATATTCAGAAGGGCAATTCTAGTATTATAAAAAATTCATTAATAATTTATTTTTTTATTCCGACAATTTTGCAGTTGATTCAAAAAGACGTCGACGATTTTCCTCCAGCTGCAGCGAGACGGAGTCTTGTCCCACGATCGCCGATTTCAAGCAACATCGAGGCGATTTTCTCCCGGCGAACAGCGACGCTATTCTCCAACGACGGCGAGGCGATTTTCTCCCGGCGAAGGGCGAGGCGATTCTCCAACGAAGGGTGAGGCGGTTTTCTCCCGGCGAATGGCGAGGCGATTCTCCAGGAAAGGGCGATGCGATTCTCCAGCGACGGCGAGCCGATTTCCTCCCGACGAAGGCTAGGCGATTTTCCATCGAACGGCGAGGCAATTTTCTCCCGCCGAGAGAGAGAAATCAGATCTAGCCGTCGTCGTCGGAAAACAGAGGAGAGAGAGACGATGGTGGAGGGAGGAGAGAGAGCGTCGACACGGTGGAGGAGAGAGAGGCGGTGCGGCGATGGAGAGAGAGAGAGAGAGAGAGAGAGAGGTGGCAACGGCAGTAGAGAGAGTCAGCGGCGGCGGTGGAAAGAAAGTCGACGGCGGCAACAACGGTGGAGAGAGGGAAGAACAGTGATTTGTAATGCAAGTGTTGTCAGTTTGTATTGTTAGTATTTTTGTACATAATTTCAGTGTGATTTGTATGGTTTGTATGTTTTGTAAAAATGACAAACATGGTGAACAAAAATAACAAAGTTTACAAACATTAAAAAAAAACCAACAAACATCACAAAATAACAAAGCTTACAAACATTACAAAATAAACCGACAAAAAGTACAAACCATACTAACTGTACAAAATACCAATACTTATAATACAAATCAATAAACTGGAATTACAAAACAATAAATACAAAGTATACAAAACAAATAAACAAACATTATAAATTACAATATATACAAATTAGTCATATAAACATTACAAATATAAAGATAAAATGACAAACTAGAATAATAAACGATACAAGCCAAATTAATACAAAATTACAAACGAGATTTACAAAAATTACAAAATAGTCCGACAAACATAATAAAGTGACGCTGTCGCCGGGAAATCCCCAATTATTGAAAAATCCTCTTCGCCGTCGCGCCGGAAAATCATCAACATCTCTCTCTCGTACCTGCTGGGAAAAATTCCCAGGAAAGTAAAAATGGCATGTGAGATTCCCAGGAAAGTAAAAATGGCATGTGGGATTCCAGGAAAGGAAGAATGGCCGCCTGAAGGCCACGGGAGGCCGCCGGCAAAAGAAATCTCGGCGAGGGGCAGGCGGGAGATATCCCGCGCGCGGGCCGTTGTAATTTTTTTCTTTTGATTGTTAAATAAATTAAATATGTAATTACCATCTTATCCTTCATTAAACTGAATAAATTAGGATCATTGAATTTTAATGAAGTTGAATGGTTGAGATTGGCTTAGTCATGTGACTAAGGGGACCCCCTTTAGTCACCTGATCTTAGCCCCTCTCAAGACTAGTGGGGTCGGGACCATTTTGGTGCAAAAGATGTGTACAATCATCAACTCTCGGCCCTATCGTCTCAATACCACAGCGGTAACCTCTAAATGTTAGAGCTCACGGGATGGTTGTCATCACTAGCTTGTCTGGAGGTCTTAGACACGGGTTCAAATGACTGACAATTGTCTTGGACATGAGGAAAATGCTTCTTAAGTGGTGGCAATCATGACGTGAGGTTCTACATCTTCGACCTAAACCCGAAGGTTCTACGGTTCCGACTAAAACCCTTTTCTTCAACCAAAGGCCACTAGCATCGGCCAAAAACCTTATCTCTCCCTTCAAAACTATCACCCATTTGAACTAAGATAGCAGCAGTATTGTTGTACTGGAGAGTATGCGTATCTGAATACTTGCAATCCTACCCCATTTGCGTATCTTTTTAAGGCTATCTGCCCCAAGGCTTACAGTTATGCTTTCGATGATTCGTCCACTCCAGTCTCAACAAGTGCAGGGCTTCACGCTACGTGATCACTTTCTGCCCACCTAAGCATAGGATTCACATTTTATTTGCATCATTCACGGCGGTCATGTTTGATTTCAGTTGTCTTTTCACTTTCGCTTTTGCAAAGGATTGATTGCTGTCCAGCTTAGTGTAGCTCTTGAGATACTAGCAGTGTCAGCATTGTTGAGTCCCCAACTCCCCATCCAGTCAGCTTGATGAGACCACTACCTTAACAGATGACTAGCAGGGGTCAGAAAAGTAATTTCAGGCACTCCAGTAGTGAACACGTAAACTTCAGTGATGAAAATTTCATACAACTCCTGAAAAATTACGAGCGATCTAATAGGAAAACAACAATTCCCTACACCGTTGAGTATCAAATAAACAAGAACGACAGTATTACTGGACTAACAATGAACGAAAGTTGAATTGCACTCTGCTTCACCTCGTGCTTCTTTGCTGCTGCTCAGCCTCTGCTTGCTCTGCACTCATAAGGGCCGGAGACATTAGCCAGATCCCGAAGCAGGGCCAGCTCCTAATAAAAGTGGAGGAGCCTGTTTCTTTTCAGCGGTGGCATCATTATTCGCTGCTGCCCATGCTCTAAGAGGAGGTTCAAATTGCTTGCTAGCCACATCAGGTGGTTGTGCATCCTCGCCAGGGAGAACAAGCAGGCCCTTCTCTCGAAGTGATGAAGGCTCGTTGAAGTAAGTTTCCCAAAGAGTGTCGACTAGTTGCCTCTCTTCTTTAGCAGCACCAAGATCTTCGGCGGACATCAATCTAATACCCTCTATCCGTTCTTCAAGAAGTGCCTTCAATTTCAAGTCTTCCTCGGCTGACCGACAAACTTTTCCCACATCCACGTCGTGTTTAGCAAGCTCCAGTAGGCCACCAAGGGCAGCTTCACGGATATCTCCATGTTCACTCGAGGCAAGATGTAAGAGTATGCGGTGGAATCCCAGCTCGTTTACAGTGGTGCAATCTGCAGTGTTCTCTTTCAGGAGGTAGTGGATCAAGTTCAATGCTTTCCTGGAATTTGCAGTAATTTGTCAGACAACTATGAGCAACAATTTTTAGAATTTAGCAGAACCAGAGAAAAATGAAGGCCACGGACTCCACACTTACCTCTGGAATCTCACATTATCAGAGTTCAGAGCATCCCTCAAGCCCGCATAACCATTAGCCAAGCGGAATGCAGTGACAGCTGGTTTATTGTGTCGAAGCAAGGCTGGAATATAGGCAAGAGGATTCTGATAAGTACTCAACCAAAGTCTGATGGCTACTAGAGACTAGTTACTTTTAACACAGGCTAGGGCACCACTTACATGATATTGCACCAAGGGCCTTGGTCCGTACAGTTACATCTGGGTCTGACGCAAAATTAGACAAGAGAGGTTCGAACCCATTTGCTTCCATAACCAGTTGCTGACTTTTGGGATTGTTCTGGACGATAGTAGATACTACCTCAGCAGCCTTTGCTCGGATATTGGCATGTGAGTTTTTCAGGTAACCAAGTAGAGGGACCAAACCACCAATGGAATGAAGATCTGTCTTGAACAAACACAGATGATTAATCAACAAATGTCATCTCCATATATCATTCACATCATAACCTATTAGTTCCACGATGGACTTCCCCCATATAAACAACTAGTGACCGCACGACGTTAACACAGGCAAGAGCAACTTCCATGCCATCGACCAACAAAATTACCAACTTGAAGCGTGCAATGCCCGAGGCCTAGCTACAGCCTAACCAAGAGGAATAAATGACAAGGGAAACTCACCGTTTGCCATGTCAATAGACTCCACATGCTCTTGAAGCTCTTCCAACATATCTGCCAAAAGAAGTCCGCAACTTTAGCCAGCTACAAAGAATAGAAGTATCCCTAAACTAGAACCCACAACACAAATCGACAGTTCCAAATCAAACCAGGGCAAATTCAAGCTAAGTACCTTCAATCTCAGCCGGAGTAACTCCTTGGGCCTCCAAGACTTCAGGAGGAGTTTGCATGACCTGAGTAATCTCCTTCATCCGCTTAACCACGTCCACAGTCTGAGATTGCATTGCTTCCATAAACCATCTTCGATCCTCCTCGCTTCAATTAACACACATCAAGCATCCAATTTGAAAAAGCTTACCCCAAGATCAGTTCAAAACAGCAGGAAGGGAGAAAAGAAAAAGCAAAAGCACAGTGCTAGCGTTCTTACCCGAGGTTGCGATTAGACCCAGTTCCATCGGAGTGGGCAAGACTCCACTTGAGCAACCCATCCCAGTCGGGTCCTGGTTTCGCCATTATCAACCACAAACGTCGGAGAAAGAAAACCTAGAACAAAAGCACCCAGCCAAACAAAAATTCTCCACTTTCGCGAAACCTGATACGGATGGCCGCCAAGATTGAAACTTATATATAGCAAATGAAGCAAAATATAAACGTAGATTATGAGCGCGGGCGAGCGAGTAGCCGACCCGAATAATGAGGAGAGAGAGCGCGACGAATTCCGGAAAGCTCTACAGAGTTCCAGAAACCTTGTGAGAGTTGCCGGGAGAAAGGGGAGGACAACATGGCCGAAACTGATTCGGCACGTAAAATACCTCGGGTATCACTTAATTTTTATTCGAAACTGATTCGGTATTGGAGGGTAAAATACCTCTGAGTATCACTTAATTTTGAGAATCGGAATAGACATGTCACTTAACTTTGAATAAGGCGTCGAGTACGGACTAAATTATATTATATGTGCACCCGGTACCACTTATGTTTACTGTTAACTGCATTCCGTTAAAATTGACATAATATTATTGGAATATTTTGTTTTCTAAATTTCAGAATTGGTCCTTCTACTTTTCTTATTGTAAAAGAATCATTTGGACTTATGAAAAAACATCATTTTTTTATTGTTTGGTTGGAATCCTTTTTTTTATTGTGAAATCAAAAAAATAGCATTAAGACCAGGCCACCTACAGAGGGAACCCTGCAGAGCCTCTCAAACTGTAACAGCGTACATATAAGCAAAACTTACAAAAACCACTTCTATCTAACATTTACTGCATACTATCTAACTCTAGTTGAAGGGCAAGATCTTCACATACTCGGTAGACAACTTCCTCTCGTATCAACTTTACCAACGCAACAGGGTCTTTTATCACTTTAGACCCATACATTCGAGAACACCTCTAACGCCATATATGACTCATAGTAGCACTCCACAGCACTCTGCAAAGTCTCGACCTAGCAGTCTGCATCTTTCATTTCCTTGCACACCAAGCAATTGTTTCGTCCCAACTTCCTACACCTGGTGGAGAGTGGCTTTTCATACACAGCTTCAATACAGATAATGAGTAAGAGCAGTGAATCAGAATATGATCTCTACTCTCCATGCCACCTGGGCATAATAGACAGCAGCCAGAAACATTTTTACCCCAAGATAAAAGCTTATCCTGGGTTACCAATCTCCTGTGAATAGCAAGCAACAGGATCAAACCATGCTTTGGAATGACTTCCTTCGTCCATACTAACCTCCACTACTGCACTTCTGGGGGATTTCTCCCTGATGTCATTCCACACCCTAGACACCGAGAATCTTTTCATTTGCTTCCCCTGCCATAGCATACAGCTCCCATTTCCAGAAACAAATGGATAGGCAACAGCCCTGCATTTCAATAAATGCTTCCAAATCCATGTCCCTGCAGAAGCAGCTGAGATTTCCCAAATGTTTCTACCCTTCAGCCTGTATCTAGAAACCCATGCAACCCAAAGAGAACCACCCAGTGTAAGGATTTCCCATAAATGCCTCAAGACACAAGCTTTATTCCATACACTGAAGTTCCTAATACCTAGCCCCCCTCCTTCTTGGGGGTTGCTAACTTTTCCCAAGCCATGACTGCTTTTTTCCTACTGCCATCCTCAGTTGAATCCCACAAGAACTCATTTCATAATCTCTACACCTCTTTAATAACATATTGAGGCAGTAAAAAAATGTTAAGCCAGTACTGAAGGGTGCTTGATATGACAGTTGATATGAGTTGAATTTTTCCAGCATAGCTTAATAATTTTGACCTCCAGCTTCTCAATCTTTGTGTTATCTTATCCACCAGACCTTACAATCCTGCCTAGTAAGTTTACCTGTGATAAGTGGAACTCCTAGGTACCTCACAGGAAGCGTTCCAAGAGGAAATTTAGTGAACTCAGATATTGCAAGCATCTCTTCCTTAGGGATTCCCGCACAGAAAAGCTGACATTTAGCTGGGTTGCATCTCAATCCAGACAGCTTATAAAAGCTATCCATTAACCTTCTAATGTCAGCAACCCCTCTTATTGACCCATTAGTAAACATCGTTAAATCATCCGCAAAACACAAATGGGTAACCATAAGAGGCTTACAGCTAGGATGGTAAGGAATCGGGTTATCAATTACTGCTTTCCTAGTCAAACAATCCAGAGCTTCCATTGCAATTGTAAACAGATTGGGAGACAGAGGGTCCCCCTGTCTGAGCCCTTTACCTGCCTTAATATTCCCACACAGCCCCCCATTAACTGCTACTGTAATAGTTGGTGTGGTAACACAAGCAGCAATCAGTTTAAGAAAACCCCCTGGGAACCCCATAGCCTCCATAATATTGAACAGGAACTTCCAGTTTACTGAGTCAACTGCCTTCATTATATCAATCTTCACCACACACCTAGGAGTAATATTCTTCCTATGATAGTTTCTGACCAGTTCTGACACCAGAAGTATATTGTCACTTATAGACCTCCCTTTAATGAAAGCTGATTGAGATCTACAAATCACACTAGGGAGAACTAAAGCAATTCTATTGGCTAACAATTTAGATATTCCCTTGTACAACGTGTTACAGCAAGATATGGGTCTATAATCTCTCATCTTTTCAGAGCTAGGAATCTTAGCTACCAATGTAAATATTGTACTATTCACAATAGGAGGCATAATTCCAGTAGAGAAGAAAGAAAGAATTACCTCTTCAACTTCAGGCCCAATAAGAGACCAGTGAGCTTTGTAAAACTCAACTGGGAATTCATCTGGCCCTGGGGCCTTATCCTTGCCAAGAGCCTGAAAAATCTGCTTGATTTCTGCTCGAGTAATATTGGAATCCTTTTTTGAAAACTCTTATACCAAACCAATTTTGTAATAGAAAATTTAGAAACAATTATCATTATAAGTATTTTCAATCATATGTGTTCTAATAATTGAATTTTTTTCCTGAACCAAATATATCCTATGAATTATGTCTCAATATAAATAATTTAACGATGTTATATTTAGTTTTCTTAAATCATGATGATGTTGTCTAATTTTCCATATTAATCTTTTTTAATTCTCTAATCTTTTTTTAGATTTGTTACTGTACGTTGTAGATTTTATAGTTTACTTATAACTTGGTTAACTCTTCTTGTTCAATTTTTTTCAATAACTGGAATGTGTTTATTATTTTTTATTTAATGTTCCATTTATCCTTCTTTGGTTTTTATGTATTGAATATTGATGGTCGATTAGGTTCTATTTTAACAGGTTTTTTTAATTGTATTAGGGGTTTAAATAGATATTTTAACATTAATTTTAAATATTTGTTATTATCTTTTAGTATATTTATTATCTTTTTATATTCGTTTATTATTTTTACTAACTTATCTATTTTGTTGAAAAAATTTCATTAGTCATTCTAGTAATACTATGTTAGAAGGTTTTCTAATTTTTTATATTAGTTAATACATGTTGAAATATAGTTTTAGATGTTTCTAAAAGGTTTGGGTAACGGTAATTAAAAATTTAGGTTGGATGGAAAACTAGACGGTACCTTTTGGAGACTTTAATGGTACCCGACACCCTATTCAAAGTTAAGTGGTATGTCTATCCCATTTCTCAAAGTTAAGTGGTATCCGAGATATTTCACCCCGGTATTGGACATGGTCAAAGTTTTTTGGGCTCCCTAGAATTCGTGGATATGGTTCTGTCCTTTTGGGCCGAGCAAAGCCGAAGCCGAACTCCCACCCCAATAACTTGTGGTGGCATAATATGGGGAGAAATGTCTCCAATGCTATTAAACTTTTCGAATTGGAAGAAACGGGTGAATCTGGTGCTTAAGCCTATAGGTTTAAACATTTTGCTTAAACCATTCTATTGGTTGATAGTGGATTAGATAGTTAATAAGAGTGTAGTAGTTAATAGGAAGTTGAGAATAAATAAGATTATTATGCAAATATAATTAATATTAATAATTGATTATTCTCTTTCTCTCTCCTCCCATAACTTTCTCCATAACCCTCTCTCTCAACTACAATTAAAAGGAATCCGAAATTAATTTAATTAGATTTTAATATTTAATAAAATTTGAACTTAATATTTTTTCTCTTTTTAAAATCAAAATTAAAATCTGCTCTCTCATTTCGTGACAACTTGCAATGTAGTATTAACGTTTTGCAATGACATTATCAACGTTTATGAAATAAATTATTATTATACCTTATCATTATTAACGATTTCAATATAAGTATCAATTCTTTACAATTATACTATTAACAATTTTGAATCAATCGTTACCGTTTTACATTTTCATCATCAACATTTATGAATGAATCATTGATACAGCATCTTTACTAATGATTCGCTATATCATTGATTCACAAAATTATCATTATTGATACTATTAGTAATGAGCTCTTACAGACGACTCACTCGTTTTGACAAACAAACAACAACTGATACCATGATACATCAAACGTTGACAGTGTTCACTACTAACAGTATGTGACAAAATTATAATCATTTTAGGTAAATTATTAGACGTTTTGAAACTATTAGTAATGATATACTCTCACGTTGTTAACGTTTTGATGAGAGTTGTTTAACGTTTTAACGTAAATGTGATGTTCTCATTCCAAAAATTTCATTGAAACTGAAAATTATAAATATTTTAGGTCAATTTTTAGCGATTTTGATACTATTAGTTATGATATAATTTAACAACATTTTGATGGGAGTTGCTTAACATTTTTAACGTGAAAGTTAAATTGTAAGTTGTAACAACTACGTGCTATCATGATACATTAACAAACATCTGATATCATGATATATTAAACGTAGATAAAGATATTTTAAATTGTTAATAATGTAACTATATTTTATTAATAATTCACTAAAAATTTGATAATGCTCGGCTATAATGATTATAACCATAAATATTTTATTACGTTAATAATAATTTACATTTACATCAACGATGATAACATTACATTAGATTGTTAACAATGAGCCTAAACCCAAAAACAAACAACAACAAATGATTTAGGAGACGATGATAATGTTTTTGTATGTTGTTGAAAATTTATTGCAAAAAAGTTGATAATAGTACCTTGGATTGATAACAATGAACCAGAAAAGTTGATGGTGTAATTGTTGGACATTATTTCATAAACGTTGAAAACAACAATTAAAAAAATAGTACATTTTATCAAAAAGTTTATAAACCTGACGTCCAAATTGGAAAACATAACCTCCTAGGTTGATAGAGATGCAACAAACCATTAATAATGTAACAAAAATTTATTGATAACAAAAATATCAATAACCAAAATATTATG